GAAGAGGTTCGGCATCCCTTTTGTGAAGAGGTTCGGCATCCCTTTTGTGAAGAGGTTCGGCATCCCTTTTGTGAAGAGGTTCGGCATCCCTTTTGTGAAGATCAGCATCCCTTTTGTGAAGAGAACCAGCATCCCTCTTGTCAATAGGGTTAGCCTCCCTTTTTCGAAATTGAATTAAACCTGAACGACGCAATTCATCAGCGAAAGGGTCCGCATCTCTTTTCTCGTAATTATTATATTCTTCGCAATATGATTCGTGAGGGTTATGATGTTTACTTTCTGTACAATACTATTAAAATATAAGATAGAATTAGTTTTAAGTCACGTTACTAGTACAGTGTGACAAATAATCGTTGAGTTTAATTATTTATCGTTATTCTCAGGTGGATCTATATTTGTTTACAAGATGAGTTTATATATATTTAAAAGTTTTCGAGAAATCAAAATCTTCGATCAATCCAAGAATAACGATTAAGTAAATATTTATCAAATTCTTACATTAGGGGGCTTTATACAATAACTGGTGTAGCAGCTGTCAGAAACTGACATCGTCCAGAAATTAATCAATAAATCTGGGAGAATTAAGAGACGGAAGAGAGGAACAAGAGAATTATACGTAAAAACATTCAAAAAGAAAAAAAAGAATAATAAAACAATAGTGGTTGCTGTTGAAATCAGCTTTTCAACTTTATAAAAATTTGCAAACGGGAAAAATAGACCAGAATGATATTGCCTTTTATCAATCTTCGTGGCTGTGTTGTGTTAAAATGAGTCCAAAGTAGAAAGGTTCAGGTGTATAGATTTTTTTGGGTTTACCGGTTACAAAAGAATTTTTTTTTTAATATACGTGGCTAATTATTCTTTTATGAAAAAAAAGAACATATATGATCTTTTTTTTTTAATGGCTCGACTTTCTTTTATCGGAACTGAGCCATTCCGAATCAAACATTTGTCGTACCGTATTTTCGCGAAATAACGCGCAGGGGTGAAATTATGAATTTCGGCCTAAATTAGGCTTAATTCGGGCCATTATTCGAAATAACGCCCATGCCCGTTATTTCGCGAAAATACGGTAATAAGGTCTCTCGTGTTTAATATTAATAAAAAAAGGTTCGGAAAAAGCTTTTAACAAATTAGAGTTATGATTAAAATCATTATTCCACGATCTCTGCACCAATGCATTGTAGCGATAGTCATTCAGTTTGGGAGAGGAATGTTAGTTTCTTTGGAAAAGAAGCAAATTATCTTTAATCATATTATGGCACTATAGAAACTTTTAGAAAAAGACTGTTGTCTCATCATTTCTATCCTTTTCCTAATTAAGGAAATTGCCAAGATTAAATATAAATATTTTTTCGAACTAAAAGAAAAACATTAAAACATCAGCGATATGTTTACTAAGCCTCTTACGAAAATCAATTTATGAACCTGTTTATTTTATACGTATATGCTAATTTTTTGTTAATTATATCTGATTCTAATGCTAATTTTTTTACGGAAAATATACGGAGAAATATATATTTCTTAAGAAATCCCTACTTTAACGTTAAACCCTTGACTTTAATATTATTTCTGTTTAATAATATCATAGATGATTCCATATCTTATTATCTAGAATGATTGATAAGAAAAAACGTGTTTACTGTTTATCATTTTTGGTTAGCAATAAATTGGATTAAACTTTGATCTCAATAAATGAACTTTATCATTATGTAATTAAATTTTTAAGGAACTTGAAAGAATTTAAAAGGTCAACTCGTGAAAAAGTCAATCATGAATTTCATCTTTAAAGTCTGCGTACGTACGTACGTACGTATGCACCTTTATCCCAAACGATAGTTTCATAGACACTACTTTATAAGTACGTACGTACGTACGTACGTACCTTATAAGTACGTAGTGCAATGAGTCTATGATCAATCTTAATAACAGGATTTATCTGTGGCGATGCTTGTCCCGTGACTATGGATCACAAAAAAAGGAAATCTATTGATACTATTTATAAAGCTTGATATAGCATACAATCGCTGTCATAGCTAAACAATTCCAAATATTTCGAAAGGGTTTGGAGCATTCTCCCCTTTGTTAATTATAGATTTATGCAAATGCTAATGACTACGTATGAATTTATAGAAAGTAGTAACGTAAGCGTCCGTGTTTTCTTTTTTTATTAATAAACAATCATTGGCTGATATTCACTAGTGATCAATTCGATTCGTAGTCATGTAACCTTGCGCATATATATACACATACACAGCCATTTTACTTGTAATCATATCCCCGTCAGATAACTCAAAAAAGAATTTTTTCATATAAAGAGCATCCGAAAAACCAGCGATTACTTTACGTAAATTATTTATTACATGCATCGATGTCATAATTTTATTATTGCCTTGATCGAGAACAACCTTATGTAAATACAGAACACACGTTTTATCTGCCCACCTCGTTTTATTATTATTGTTTTTTTTTTATTTAAAATATATTTCAATTCTAATGTATCCACTAATAATCTCTCTTGACGACTTTGCTTTCATCCAATCTCCTTCACTTTCCAATGTATGCCATGATCCCTCCTCTTTGTACCAACTTTTATTCCAATTATGTTTTTTAAATCTTTGACGAATAGCAAAATGAAGATGATACAATGTACCATCAGAAGGATAAATAAACGCTCGTTTTTCACTTGCAAAAACGCAAGTAAGATAAATCTATTAAAAAGGAACCAGTGATATATAATTAGATGATATTATTTTTTTAGTTTCATGTTAAATGAATTTATTTGTCTTACTTCCGTCTTTTTTTTGGGTTGAATCGAGTTTTGCACATTAGAAGAATTTTGAGGTGTCGAAGATTGAAATGTTGATGAAATATTTTTGAACTTTGAAGATTGTCCCCAAGAATTATTATTATGATTATTATTTTTATTATTATTAATGCTCGAATTTAACGCTGAGAAATTAGGATTCGTTGAAGATGCCATTGTTGAAAATTTAGGAAGAGGTGTGATTGGCGAGGAATTAAAGGTTGTTGAAGATGATGGGGGCCGTAATGAATATTGTGATGATTGTGATCGTTGTGATGTAGAATTAAGCCTGTTTTGTTGATCATTAGAATCTTGTCGCGTTCCGAAACTTTTGGTAACTGTCTTAGTTTTACTAACTATTTTTTGAGTAACCGCGACATAATTTTCGATAATGACTTTAGGTGCAGTTTCTTGTTGAGCTTGTTGAGATGAAACATTTATCGAGTTATCAACAGATTGTCTCATCATCTGATTGCCATTGGATGATGATGCCTTCATAAATAAAAATAATTTTTGTTTTAAACTTATTATTTTATATGAAAAAAAAAAAATCTTTTGTTAAACAAGTAAATATTATTTACTATTGGATATTCGTCAACAATTTCATTTGTTTTTTTCTTATTAAAGTTTTCACTTTTTATATTAAACCCATGATCTGAAAGAAAATCAAAATCTGTTGCATGATAAGATCTTATGAGTAATGAATTAACTCCTGAAAAATGTCCATTCGTTGGATCATTATTCATTAGAACAGGTTCTTTTTTGTAGGGAAATCCATCAGGATGAGAATAATACTAAAATTCAAAATAGAATTAACAGTGTTATTATTGATAAAATTATACACACATATATTATATATATTATATATATATATATATTATATATATATTATATATATATATTTATATTTATATATATTATATATATATTATATATATATATATTTATATTTATATTTATATATATATATATAGGAAAAAATTTACATTACCGCTCTGGTAAATCCTGGTCTTAATTTTACTACTAATTCCCTTTCGCTAACAAGTTCACAACTAAATACTTCACCGAATGGAATTACAACTTCATCTCTCATCTTACGAAAACAGATAGAGACCTGACAAGACGTTGGTCTAAATAAAAGTCCCATATCTGTAAAAGTTTTTGCCATCATACATTTTTCCTTCGTTGTCATTCCAAAATAAACATGGCTTAATAGAACTTTGATAACATTTTCTTGACGATCGAATTTTGCTGACGGTGCAAGAACTGATGATGTTTTTGCTGATTCTTAAATAATATTATGAATGAATTAGTGTGGATTAAGGTTAGATTATCTCTAATTTCTTGTAATTTTTCGCTCAAAAATTTACCAGTTGGTTGTTCGGGCTTTCCTGTACTAACCAACTCTGCATCATCCACATCGTCCATGTTTTAATTAATCTTTTAGAATGAAACCGAAAGGTAGTGATCAACAAAAAAAAAAAAAAAAATCGAATAACTTGTAAATACGTAGTACGTAATTATTACATTTATGTAGATTTATGTGCATGTCCGAAATCTGTGAAAGGTTACGCAGATGATGTCAAGTTACCTACCTGACCGTACCCCCTAACATCGGTCCAACAAAAAATAGTTACAAGTGATTTTATCTATTCTTTTAAAGTTTTGGTTAAATCGATAAGTAGGAAATGTGTCTATCGAAAATTCTGCAATGAATTTTTTTTTGCTAGAATATAAAGTTCGTTTATTTAGCGAAGTTCCGAGACATGTTATGTTAAAAAAATAATGCATTTTTTTACACAATTATATGCCATTAATATTTTATAAAGAGATCTCTGTAAGTTTATTAATAAAATGCTTCAGGCCTCGATATAATTGTAAAGAATTTTACTACGACGTAATTAGTCCTTCATTATTTGTTATGGAAACTTAGAAATAACACCTATGTTCATATCACGTAACCCAATGGCTTTTAACCTACGTTGAACTGTCAGTAATGTATAAGGCAGTGTTGTATATTTTGACTACCCCGAGCTTTTAGCCTCGTCCCGTTCCGGGATGACTCAATTTGTCCTATCAATATCTCGGGTCCCTGTCATCAAGTTTATTGCTTACCGAACTCAGTCTATCTGAATTTTAGAAATTGTAACTTAAAAGCCCGAAGCGTGGCTTTCCTTGGGAACACCCAAATATAAATATTAGAGGCTGTTAAATTGCCTCGATTAAGATTTTTGAGCATCTGGTTGTCACCTTTTATAGACTCTTGCCTGTGTATGCAATAAATAAAGGTATAAAAAAGTAAAATTTCCCGAGTAATGTAAAAATTTACACACACGTATTATTGACTTATTTGATTGGGCATTGATTATACTTTATTACAAAATTAGTCAACTTCATCAAGGAATATAAATTAATAATAGCGTTAAAGACGCTAAGTACATAACTCGCATAATAAAGGTGCCAG